ATCAATGAATTTTCCAATCTGTTTTTATTTATTAATTGCTAATTAATTTTCATTTTGTGGATTCAACATAATGACCAGCTCACAGTTGGCTTGATAGCTCAGTTTGAGCACTGCACTGGTATTGCAGGGTCATGGGTTTGAATCCCATTAAAGCCTGCATTTTTTCAGGCTTTACCACCACTACTTAAAATTTGTATTTAACTGTGATGGTCTTTCTTCTTAAGAATTAAACCTTTATTCTGCAGATCAAAAAATTACTTATATTCTATTTCAAGCAAACTTCTGTTGAATGTTGTAACTTTCAAAATTATGTTATCCACTGGATTGCCAGGTAGCTTTGAAACAGTATGTTCAGACTGTGTCATATACAACGCATACAACTGAGAACACATTAAATTATCTGTAACATTGTTGGATATCTTCAAAACACATTATTATAAGTAAAACCCTACCCTGATTTGTCAATATCCAAGTCAGCTGGAATTAAAGAAAAAAAGGTCTCAAAGTAAGTTTGGTAGTATATGAAAATGTTTTCATTAAGCATCCTTTACCACATCTGTAGGGTATAACACAGACATCCAGGGAGGATGTTACTTTGAATGGTTGGTGGGGCTGTGCTGCAAAGAATCACAAATTCTTGCTTTAGCGTGGTTCTTTCCACCTTGAATTCTCGAACCTTTTGCTGGAAAGTCTCAGAGTCTCAAGTGTAACGATGTAAAGAAAAGTCTCAGATTGATTTAAAAAGATGATTGGTACAAAGCATTGTTATAATTAGTAAGAGTCTTTGATCATCTAGAAGTATGTGTATCAAACTAGTACTTTGCAAACTGTAAAGGTGGGAATTATAAAGTTAACTAGGCCCTCTCTGGTGTATTACTGTTCATGTAATATTTACATATACATAGCACCTTTTCTGTTTTGTCACATTTAGAACTGAGTATTGTGTTTACCTATCATGTCCTCTATGGATTCCCTTGAAATCTTAAATCCTAATGCCCTCATAGCCTTCCTGAGTTCTCGGGCATCAATTGACCTACAAGTTCAACACATTTATGATATCCCACAGTCAACCACATACATGTAAACAACAAATGATTTGTAATGAGAAGCTGTTGAATTTCAAGAAGTCAACTATAAAAATTATGTATTACTAAGCTACTGCATACCACAAGAACACAAGAACTACAAGTTATAAATAACTTACTAGAGAAAAAAAGTTTCTACAGAGTTCCTCGAACACTCATTTACTAGTTAGGGAGCAGCATTAAAAACAAGTGAAAAAAATCAGGCTTCGGGTGAGGAGCTGGCCTCCTCACCTCTCTATCTACTCACCTGCATTCTTTTCCTGTTGAAAACGTTTCAAGGATCTTCAAGAGGATCTTGATGATTTTCAATCAAGATCTGCAAACATCTTGGTCAAGAATCTTTTAATTAGGATCTTTCCATATTCTTGTCAGTATTTTAAGAGATCTTGACCAAGATCCTTGAAAGTAATGTAGGCCCTTAAAGGTCTCAGAGATTCTCAAAGAACCTGACAGGTACATCAGGGTGCATTTATCTTATATTTGCTTTACTTCCCAGCTATGAAAAAATGCCGCTGTAACAGACCATTACAGTATGACTGAGCTTAATGCTAACTACTAACTATGCTACCAAAAAAATAACATAAAAAGCACTATGCTACCAACTATT